GTTATGTTGTGATGCCATGTTGTATTTACACATATCGAGCATATTGTGTGTATGATTGAAATGCTTGCTATGTGTGGGATCCGACAATCTAGTTGTTTATCCTTGGCAGCCTCTCTTATGGGGAAATGTAGTCTAGTGCCTCCTTGAGCCATAGTAGTCCGCTACAGCCCGGTTCACCGGAGTCCTGCTAGCCCAACACTACTGCTCAGGACACTTGACTGGCCGGCATGTGTTTCACTTCGTTCATGTGTCTGTCCCTTCGGGGAAATGTCACTCAGTGACATCCGGAGTCCTGCCTAGCCTGCTACAGCCCCGTTCACCGGAGTCCTGTTAGCCTAGTGCTACAGCCCGGATTCACACGCTGCTGACCAACATGCTCGAGGTTGATTCATGTATGCCCGTCCCCATAGGTTAGTGCCGCTTTGGGTTCACGACTAGCCATGTCGGCTCGGGTTCTCTGTCATATGGATGCTAGCGACACTATCATATACGTGAGCCAAAAGGCGCAAACGGTCCCGGGCCATGGTAAGGCGACACCCGTGGGAATACCGTGCGTGAGGCCGCAAAGTGATATGAGGTGTTACCGGCTAGATCGATGTGACTTGGAATCGGGGTCCTGACATATGGCAAGATCAAGTGCAACGTTTAAGGATATTTTGTTACAAGTTAAGTGAAATTTGGTTGAGAAATATCCTTCAACAATTCATGGGCATGTCCACCGGCGGAATTCCAGATGTCGTCCATGACCATTGAAGTTGCGATGACTCATACATCTTGTTCAGGAAGGCGTTCGGGTCTTGCGTCAATGCATCCGGGATGCCCGACCAATGCGAAGTTGGAACACCATTGAACATGGGCATACCCAAGGGTGCGACTGTGGTGGATGCCATCAAAGCAGACTCCATGTCGATGATCTCCTTCGTCACAACCGGTCTTCTCGACCATCTCGTCCTTCCCACAGACGCGCTACCAAACATGCCGATCATTTTGGGTGACGCTCTCTACGTTGGCCGCCAGAATGGTGGAGACACCCATGGACTTCACTGACCCAGTGTCCATGGCAGCAGTCGTGCTACCGAACTTGTCAATCCTTGCGGGCAATGCTCTCTGCGTTGGCCACTGGAACGGTGGAGACACCCATGAACAACACTGACCTGGTGTCCATGGCGGCGTTCGCAAGGCGAAGCAAGCATTGACGGCTAGGATGAGGGAGGGTTACGATGTGAACGTAAAATGGAGACTTGCGTGGGAGAGGGGGTGATTTTGCCAAATTTGGTGACATTTGGGGTGGGTCTAGTGTGTCGTGTCCAACGTGACATTCACATCCAAACGGCCTTAAATATTCCCCACATATATGCTTGGTTTGAGGGGTATCAAATAGCCCGGACACATGGGTGTCTAGTTGTTGGGTCCAAACCTTGTCCCCGGATAAAAAAGGGGGGAGTACGGGTAAGAAACCGGGTGCATTCCGACTTCTGTCAAGCAAGAAAAAATATTAAAGTAAATTTCTATATAAAAAATAATACTCCCTCCATAAGATTATATAAGACGTTTCTTGACACTATGACATAGTGTCAAAAAATGTCTTATATTATGTTACGGAGGGGGTACTAGGATGAAATAAGAGTATCACTTGAAAGAAGTCTTACAGTCGAGGACATAAGATTAAATGGTCTCAGCAAATCACCTCGTCAATGGGGTGTAACCACATGATTCTGGAGACAGATTCAACAGTACTGAAGAAAGCTATTAGATCAAGTTATTATGATCTAGCGCTGCTAGGTGTTTTATGGACGTGGCTAGGGAGCGCATGCGCGCTTGTTCGTTTGATCGAGCAAACCCCCTTTTTGAAAAGAGACAACCAGGTCCTAAAGATGGCACAAAAATAGAAAGCCACATGCCCCCCCCCCCTCCTCCCTCCACCTTTTATGTGTCTACATACGCTATCATATAATCAACCAAGATCTTTGTCCCACGTGCATTTATTTTCTATTTAATAAAAAAATTAAAAGCCGTAACTTTTGATTCGAGCTTCAAAATCAGATTCGTTTTGACTGTTGGGTTTCTTACGACGAATTCTTCAAAACTAGATTCCATATGGATAGGTTTCATAAAAAAACATGAGCAACTTTGGATGCAATGGAAGCAACTTTAGTGATATAGAGAAGCAACTTCTTCTTTTTGGCCTCGTACAACTACCAATTAGGTTGGTTTGTATGAAACAGGAAAATCACACAAAACATGAGGTACCTTTAGTACTCATATAAGCAATTTCACTACACTATGTGTACCTGTGAATTTTGCTAACACTATCCCAACTTGCTTATTGATGATAGTTAGTTGCCTGCGGTTCATGCTTAGTTGTCTACAAATTCTATGAAATTGCCCACCATTGATGCCTAGTTGCCAGCCATTGGTAATTAGTTACCTATCATCGCTGCTCAGTTGCCTAACTTTGTGAATTAGTTGTCTACAATATTGTAAAGTTGCTTATCCTTATTTTTCTATGTTGTCTACAAACACTATGAAGTTGCCTACTGGTGATGCTTAGTTGCCTACCAGTGATGTTGATATGACCATATGTAAAACAACAATGCCTGCTGCTTATACGGCGGCTGACGCTGTTGTAGTTAAAGAAGACAAGGATGATACGACCGCTGTGATAGTTCATGTCGACGGTGTACATGTTGCGAGGGTTTTGCTTAAGTCTTGGCCGAAGTACCAAGGAGTGCTTTCATATTTGCATGCATCGGGCAATCAAACAGGTGGCATGCATGCCAGTGGGTCCAGCCAAAAATCAATTAGAGTAGATGCTACCATGTTTTATACCACGTACACGTACATGTGCATGAGTTTGTTTCAGATTTAAAAGAAATACATCACGTTGGTTATTTCTTTGGGAGACTACGGCCACCGGACCAATCAAGCATTGGACCCAGCAAGAAGTTTCTCACGTTGAAGCGATGGTGTTTAAAGGAATCAGGGTGGGGGCCACCAGCTAGCAAAACCAAATTAACTGGCGTTCAAGTATGAGATATAAACTTTATTTTTAGCAGGTCCTTTTGGTGCATGCCGAGATGTAAAAGGCAATTTAGTTTAAACCAAATAAGAGTCCAGAATTCTTGGGAAAGCTCGTGTGCGTTAATCCTTGTTAGTTGGGACAGCTATACTAGTAGTACGGCCATGTAAAAGGCCAGGTTATATTTTTGAAAATAAATATGATGTATTTTTAGGGTAGACACCTGTATCGAGTTTTGGGGGAAGCTGTTTAAAAATTCCTAAGTTTTGAAGGAAGCTTTAGAAAACCTCTTTGTTGCGATTTCTGTGAGGAAATTGTTTTGCGTCTGAGTATCGTCGTCGAGATTGGTTTTCTCATGCTGGACCGTAAGGTTCAATCCCTCTATTTCTCGTACATCGCGTGTGCGGGCGAAAGGTTACTACTGCTGAAGGAGGATTGTCATGAAAGGTCGGGACGCAACAATGAATCGGATCTCGCCACGAGGTTCGGTCTACATCAGATGTTATAGGCAACTTCTTAATATGGTAGACAACCAGGACAAATATGCTTTTTACAAAACATGGACAGGACAAATATGCTTTTTACAAAACATGGATAGGCGATAATAGGATCACATACGCGTAATGTATGTTGTATGCACCTTCGTAACGGGAGTTTCCTCATTTAGTGCCGAAAGTTGCCTCAATGTAATGCCAAAGCTGCCTACAATGATGCTCAGTTGTCTATACGGTGAAAATTTGTCTCATGGTTTCTATGTCGTCTACAATATACTTGCTAGGTAAATTCACTGGTACATATGATACAAGAAAGTTGCTTCTATTTAGCGCTAAAGTTGACTAATCTAGAGCCAAACTTGCTTTTAGAAAATCATTAAAACATATTCATATAGGATCTAATTTTAAAGAGCTCGTCGCGAGAAACCTAACAATGGAAACGAATCTTTGTTCTGACTCCCGTTTAAAAAGTTGTAGCTTTTCAAAATAAATGAGATGAAATACAGTGGAATGACATGAACACATGCATGTAGTTAATCCTTACCCCTAACCTTGTGCACTACCAACACTACCACGCGGTTCCTGCCAGTCACATGTACGATATTGGACAGCAACGTGAGGATGCGCTCGTTTCAACGAAATAGTGCAGCTACATTATTAAGCATTTGAGGTGCTTTGTTTAGATATAGAAATAAAAACCATGTTGTATGTTAGGGTTTGAAATTAGCTCGTGAACTAACTGTGCATGGCTCTCTGTTGAGGGATGGCAATCGTGAGATGTGAGTTTGCCATCTGCCACAGTTTGTACTTAACATGTGGTTTTCTTTGTACTTAACATGTGGTTTTCCTTGCAAAAAAAAAAATATCCAGAACTCGGTTCTAGTGGCCAAATATGTGTCAAACGAGTATAAAATTGGGTCATCTATTTTGGAACGGAGGGAGTACAACTTAAGAAAACGAGTATAAAATTGGTCATCTATTTTGGAACGGAGGGAGTACAACTTAAGAAAACGAGTATAAAATTGGGTCATCTATTTTGGAACGGAGGGAGTACAACTTAAGAGAACTGACAGTTCCGTGATGCAAAATGACAGAAGTGATGCCAGGATGCAGGATGCTTCAAATGATTGAATCTGTTTAAGTGAATCTCATACAGGGAAAATGCCCATTAAATAAGATTGCAAAGTGAGAAAAAAATATCAAAAAAATGCCAAAAGGCTGAAACATGAAACTGTGGTCCTACTACTGATATAAATATTTACAAGGGAAAACTGGAAAATTGTGAAGTTAATCTGCATTTCACTCCGTGAGGTGCATAATTTCAGCTCTTATGTGGCTTGAACAGACGTCCCTTTGGCAAATAGTAATGACTGATATCATGGATTTGCAGTACTGTCCTTTCCAGTTCAATCAAAACTCAAGGATTCTTATCTGCTTTAGTTCCAAAACGAGGCAAATACACAACCAGCTTCCTCTGAAAGTCCTCGTCAAAATCGCCAAGGGCTTCCTCTTTGCGGTTCAGGTGATCTGGATGCAGAAATGTGTGGATGAAGTTTATCTCCAGCATGATTCCTGAACTGCTTCACAGCACCATTATGTTCATATGGTTTGACAGTTCCATATCTATCATTACATCTTTTATCATCACCATTCCCATCATGCTTATTTCCCCTTTTGAAGTCACGTGGGCGGTGGAATTCTCGAGATCTTGACCGTCCTTGGGAATCCATTAAATCGAACATGTCATTTCTTGAGGTGATTCTCAGAGGTGGGCTCCTCCGAGAATACCGTTTCTTGTGATAAGAAATATCTAGTGTTGAGCAGCTCCTTCCTTCAACCCATGTTGAATCATGTTGAGAGTAAGTGGAATTTATTGATGGACTACCACGCATAACTCGATCATTGAATCGATGTTGTCTTTGAGGTGAAGTCATTCTACCAATTCTAACTTCAGTCATGTAATTAGGAGATCTACTATGCCTCCGTATACTTGAGCCTCCGTTGGATGTCCAAGCATGTGGTGATCGAGATCTAGATCCTGAAGGAGATCTGCTGTGAGCACGTGACAGGTCGAGTGAGGCTCTATGCGCTGGGAACCTCCGTTGTCTATTAGACAGTGAGCTATGAACTGAACTCAAATTTTCATCAATGGCATGATCTTTATCGATCTGAGGACCATATCGACCAGACCGGTTGCCACTAGCACCAAAGCATCGTTCTGGAGGTGCTTCCCTAGCATGTGCAGGTTCTCTGGACAACCCACCCCTTCCAACTCTGTCAACTGGGGAACACCGTCTAGACAAAGGGTGATAGAAGCTACTTTTGTTTCTCATCCTTCTAGACATGGTACTTGTATTTGCTGCATCAACAGCTCTTACCAAAGTGCCATCAGCTGCAACAACAAAGCCACTGCTCTCCATCTTTGCAACAGCAGCTTCAGCAGCATTTCTTGGACCAGCTGGGCCATAATTATTATAATCAGGTGATCTTCGCTGGGTAGAACGAGAACTATTTGAATTTTCAGCCCACTGCTCCCCTCGGATGTTTGCTTGAACATGCCGAGATGCTCCACCCCTGCCATGTGGCCTATCAACAGACCTTTCAGCTTTTGAGCCAGAACCATAGCCATCATCAGATCTGGATTAAAGAAGAGAGTATGCGGCATTAGTCACTAGGATTACGATACTGCACAAACAAGGATTTAATTATGTGTAAGATGACAGCTAAACATATTAACTCAAATTTACCTGCAGTGCTCATTTCTGTGGGGTCTGTCAAATGATCTTAGCCGATCAAGTCGTGATTGCACGTCTCTATTTGGTAATCCCATTGGTCGAAATGATTCACAGGCTTCAGCTGCCTCTAATGTACCTAAAACACACAGGTTAGAAGAATCAACTCTGTCTCTTGAATCTTCTCGAGAGTGCCTCTGATCTTCAGGCAACATATCCCATCCCACGGGCTTTGATCTGATATTCAATGGATCCTCACCTAAGCCATCACCACCCCTTTCAGACTGGCTAACGGTCCCAGCAGATCGAGCTATTGTAAGGTCTAGGTTGTCATACATTCGAGTCTCATTTTTCATATTCACATGAATGCTCCGAGCACTTGCAGCACACATCATTCCAGATCCACCATCCAAGCAGTTACTTGACCATGAGCGCTTCAATGAGACAGGAGAAACATCACAATCTTCCTTCCTGGATAATGTTCCATTGTAATTAGCAACTGGCATAACCATATTGTTTGAAACAGAGCCAACAGGTACATGATGAATGTCTGGGGCAGCTTTTTCATCCTTGTAATCTGATACCTGATAATTAGCACATTTAACTTCTTCATAAATGTCATCGGCCCAATAACGGTCACCAGATTCCCTAAGTTCCCCATCCTCATACTGAGAATCATCTTCCTCGACGTCAACTTTTCCGGTCACAGAAAGATCTTTGCTAAAACGAGACGTGTCTGTCCGATAGCAGTGTTCAAGGCAATTATTTGATGTGACCTTCTGAAGATCATGTTTGTAACCACTTGGTTGGCTTTGTGCTCTAGATTTTGAATCCACAATATTGTCCATGTCAGTATCTGCTTGTTTAGAGCACTCTGAATTGAGACCATGAGCATGAATATCACTGGTGATGTAACATGTTTCTGCACTGGTAGCGTTGGCACAAGCAAGTAAACGATTTCTGTAATCGATTGTTGCATCCACACCACCCTCTATATGCGCATAGGACATGACGCAATCAGAAGTGCGTAGGTTATCCTCTGGATGAGAATCAGGGAGGTCTGAATCATTGTCTGCATCTCCAGCTTTCTTGTCAACGCACAATACGTCAGTGTCATGTTCAGCCTTCTCATTGACGGACTGATCAATTTTACTAGTTCCTGAATCAACATCCAAAAGTTCATGGTTTTTAAATTCAGATATGCTCTGTAGTGAAGCCTGCCCAAGTTTATCATCGCTCCACCCAGCGTCAGTAAAACTTTTACTGGAAACTGTTGCAATATTTGTGCTTTCCTCAGAAACTAATCTGCTTGTCATAGGCTTCACTCTGGAGCCCAGAACACTTGTTTGAATTGAACTACCTCCAGCATGAGCATCCTCAGAAGTCAAGTGAGACAAACCTTCACAATCAAGGGGTGAAATGTGTGACACATCAAGTTTCTCCACATTTGCAGCAAATGCGAAATGTTCCTGAGTAAGAGACAGAGAACTCAAGTCTGGATTAGATCCGATATGCAATGCCACATTAGAAACATAACTACTCTTCTGCAGATCAAGCAAATTGTTTGTTTCGGCAGAGGAATCATTTCCATCTAAACATTCGGATTCCAATAGCTGAACTTTCGGGGGAGACCGACTGCACAAAGGATGAAATGAACCATCACCTGAGAAATCACTTTCACCCTTTGTGTTACCATCTTTTGCTGCATCAGCCACGTGAATTTTATCAACAGAATGACGAACTATGACCTCAGCAACTGTTGACTGAGAAAGATCCCGACACACCTGTGATTTGTTCATCTCCTTTTGAGCATCATTACAATCACTTACAGAAGCTACAGGATCAGGACCAACCATATCATGATTATCATCATCACCACAATGGGTGTCCCACGCCTCCATCGCAATGTTAAGATCCCAGTGCAGTCTAGAATCATGAGCCGCATTGGAATGCTTGGTGTGCACAACTGTATCTCCAAAGCAGCCTACTGATTTGCCTGGATTGCTTGAGTTAGTTAACATGGTAACATCCGAAGATTTAGCATCAGAAACAGATGAAAAAATATCAGTTTTGTTTGCATTGCTCAACAAAGAATGAAGTGCAGTATTACCCTCCAGAGCAGCTGCAAATCCAACAAGATTCTCTGGACCATTTAATGTTGTGGGGAACAAGGGCTTCATGTCAGGAGCAGACTCAGAGCTATTTGATGTAGTGGGAAACAAAGGCCTCATGTCAGGAGCAGTTTCAGATAATTTCAGGGCCCTGTCTGGGATATTTAGCTTATCCCCCTTAATTTCATGTAGAGGATCCAACAGTGAACTGCCAGAGATAATTTCTGGCTTTCTTTCATCAAGAGAGCAGGCTGACTTCGAGCATTCACCATTTAACTTAGCAACATCCATCTCACTTTCACAGGCAGCAGCAGCCAGTATTGATATACCAGAAAAATCAGCAGCTTCAAGAGGTCCTCTCTTTTCTTCCATGTGCTTGCCTCCTAGTGTTTTAACCTTGCGATGCTCGCCATATGATGAAATGCCTCCACCAGATCTGCTCGGTATTTTTTCATAAGGATCCACTAGCAGTGGGGTGGATGGAGGTGATGGAGAACAATCCATATGAACTCTTCTCTTTTTTATTGGAACATTTTCCATGGGATCACCAAAGCGCCGACCAAGAATAGATACCCCAAGCTGCAGACGGATAATTAAATAGTCAAGAATATATTCATTAAATGGGGCAATTGACTCTCATTTCACCGTATTCTCAAGGAGGAAATAAATACCTTCTCAGATTCAGAGGCTGAATCCTCTTCTTGAGCCACTTCTAGACTCATGGGATTGCCACATGCATAGAAAGATCTAATTTCATCCTTCAATCTGTCTCCTCCAGAAAAGGTCCTTGCTCTCCTTGCAGCTCTTTGCCTTCTGTTTACAGTCTTCCATCTCACCTCAGGATCTATAGGTCTGGGGAGCTCCAAGCCGCTGGTGTTAAGGTTGCTGCTACACGATGGCCCACCTCTGTCCACTGTTGATTTGCCACCACAGCTTTTGCAGGTCATCATAATATTTCTGGTATTAGGATTATGAAGTGACGAGGACCTTCTAGTACAACTGCACACTCGAATCTGGCAAGAGAATCGAACAGCAGAAGTTAGAAATCAAAGATGAGGCAAAACATAGATATTTATAGCAAACTCAAGACAATGGCAAGCTTTTAGCACGGCGCAAAGTGCTGCAAAATCACGTGCATACCATCAAATCAGATCGTGTTCCTCCTGTTTGAGTAGAAACAGAAGATGGGTTCACATCAATCCCATGCTTAAATCCAATAGATCCCTCGATACCCTCTGGAAAACAAAAACAACAGAAGGTTGTTGTTGAGCACCATACCACCAATGCTTAGGATACTGTTCGAAGAATAATAGTGTGACAGTCCACAGAGTATGCACATAAGCAAGAGTTAAAAAGTAAAAGAGAATTCCTCAGCAATGCCACTGCCCCCCTGGCAACCATCAACAGCCACTTCCTTGAACCAAATCAGCGCCAAATTAAGGAAAACATTGAGTTTCTGAGTCAGTTTTCAGTGGCAAAATAAGAAACTTTGAGCTTCCGACCAGGCTACAAACAAGCACATTTGTCCTGCAGCACCAACAGCACGCCAGAAGCTAAACTATGTGGTTTCTCCTGCCAGGACTGAACACCCTTGGTACCAGAAGAAGACCACCACAAGTCTAGTCAACTGCCTTCATCCTTTCATTGGCCTCCTCCGCCGCATAGAGAACCACAGCAAGCGGGTAGATCTGAAAGATGAGGAATTTCCGAGGAGAACCTGTCGCTGCCAGATGCACAGAAAGGATAAACAAGAGCTACAGGCCCCAGATTGACCTGAGACAAACTGCGCTGCCAGAAGTCCAAAATCCTCGGACAAAGCAGATCTAATACCCGAACGGCGAGAACATGTCCTCCATCCGTAGCTCGTGGCGGAACCAGCAAGAAACAGCGTGGTCACCGTGGCGGCGGCCGCCGCCAGACCCAAGCTGACCTGTAAAACCGACCTGATCCGGGCGGCAGGGGAGCTAGCAAAGCAGCAGGTAGAGAGACTAGTGAGATTTCTAAGATCTAGGGTTTCGTATACCTTTTGTTCCAGACTTCCTCATCAAACACAGCACCGCCGCCTCCGGCTGCCTCCGCTCTCCGTCCTGCGCGTGTTTGCGTGCGTGGGTGGCGCACCGCTCAGCTAGAATCCAAACCCTTCCTTCCCATTCGCTCCGTTCCCTTGGTGGCTGGATTCTTTGCGTGCGCTGCGGCTGGAAGAAATTCCCCGCTACTTTTCGACCCTTTTCACCCTGCCTGCCTGGTCAGGCACGCGACGAAACGATCGGCGGTGACTCCCGACTGCCCTTGCCTGCGCCCAAAGTGGCCTGGCCGTGGCCGTCGCCACGGCTGCTCCAGACTTCTCTATTGGGCCTTCTACTTCGCCGCCTGCGGAGGGTGGGAGGAGAAGACGAAGACCATAATATTTTTTCAGTGATTTTGGAGGGCCGTCCAATTAATACTCGATTTCCTCTCGTTTGGTGGGTAAGGACACGTATCCGGGTTGGATGGACCGGATTACCCCTGGAGCCTTTCCGGAGGTGGACGTTGGGCTATATAACAAATACTTCCTCGGGTTTATTAGGCCCCCAACCAAAATATAGGTATCAAGACAAATGATTAATTTTTGGAGTAAGTGTTGTTTTTTCGGTTTTCATGTGTGATTTACTGCCCAAAGCAAACCGCTTCACGCGCATGCAACCTAGGCTCAGTTAGTTTTCTTGTCGCTTTCGAACAAGGCGCCAGCTCGCGCGCGCTCGGTCGCTGCATGACGCATGCATGCCTAATGAAAAGATGATTAGAATCGCATGCACTGGCTGGCTGGGAGACTAGGAGAAGTACTAGTACGGTCAATGTACATCAGTTTCTACATGCCAATGGCTGGTAATTGATTGCGCTCCGTAAGACGAACCGTAGCCTGGGAGATCGATAAAGAAATGGAGCGCACTTACTTTTGGCAGCCGGATCAACAGAGGGGCCTAATAAGAGCGGACGCGCTCCCTCCTCCCACGGGCCCAATAAACCCAGACGGAGGGAGTATATAAAAAGTCGAAACATGCGCTCGTTCGTTGGCGGGTCCACCTCGTTTTGCGAAGGAAACCCTAGAGGCGACGGAAAAGGCGACCTGGAGATCACAAGGCCGTCGTCTTGCTAGGGTTCTAAAGCGAGGGTGGTGCTTCTTCGGGTGAACTGTGACGACAGCGACAACGCCATCTAGCAAGTCGATCGACGCAGGATCTGCTTCCGGTGGCAAGGACATGGAGGAGCATGGGGGAGAAAGGAGAGGTTGCCTCGAGGAAGGTGGCTACCCCGACCGGCAGAGCGGGAGCATCGAGTCGGGGATCGACGGCATCTCTGGCTGACGACAAAACTTCTGAGGCGGCTTCTAGCCTTTCGGCGAAATTGGGGAGTCTGATTCTAACGGAGAAAGAGAAGAGGAGGCTTATCTTTGCGGATCCAAATCCCACTCAAACAAGGGTTCCCAAGTGGTCGGCTGTGGGGAAATCTTTCTCTCCACGTCCCCTGAATAGGTATGCGCTTGAACGAGCGATGCAGAAGGCATGGGGATTACACAATGTCGGTGTCAAAACTGGCAAACCTCGGGGTGGGGGGTCCCGAGCTGTGAATCTAGGATCGATGGGGAACAAAGGACGACGAACACAGTGTTTACCCAGGTTCAGGCCCTCTCGAAGAGGTAAAACCCTACGTCTTGCTTGATTTTATTGGATGTATGATATGGTTTACAGAGTAGATCTACCTCGAGATCAGCATGAACTAAACCCTAAGGCGATGAGGTGATGAATGTAGCTCTAGCCCTAAAGACTAAAACCCTCGGTTTATATAGACACCGGTAGGGTTAGGGTTACCGAAGATAGATTACAATAAGGGTTTAAAGAGATCTTGCTCCTTCTTGACTTGGAGGGCACACCACAGCTTCTCAGATCTTGTGACGCCCCGAGACCAATGCGCTAGGTGTCTTCCAGTTATTCGTTGTTGTTGCCTTGTCTTTCGGCTGCGTGTTGCATCTTGCCATGTCATCATGTGCATTGCATCATCATGTTTTAAAACTTGCATCCATCCGGGTTCCCCCAGTTCTGTCCGTTGTCCGTTCTAAGCCCAGTCACACTTGCACGCGCCCGCGGCACGTCCGAAATAGTATTTTATAAGTGGCCGGAAAATGTTCTCAGAATGGGTTGAAAGTTGGCATGCGGTGTTGTTATGTTGTTAGTAGGTCGCCTGCCAAGTTTCATCGCATTCGGAGTCCGCTTGACGCCCCAAGGATAACTATAGCGACAATATAGTCGGTCAAATCGTCGGACATTTTCGGTCTCCGAAAACTATTGTCGGGCTTTCCCGCTCTTTCCTCCCTAGACCGTCTACACAATCCACTACTTACCGCCAGGCCCAATCTAACCTCGCTCGTCAGCCCGCGGCCCTCCTCGCGCGCGCGTCCGAAAGCTATCCCGGACCCGACCCGGGCAGTCGTTACCGTTGGATTCGGTTCATCCCCAAACATCTACAAAACATCACCGTTTTCTTATTTGGACGCCCTAGCCTATTTTTCCTGACCGTTCGATTTTGATCGAAGGGACCGTATACCCCCTAACCTAAGCCAATAATGTATATAAGAGAGCAACCCTAAAATTTAGGTGAGCTGTCCCATCATTCCCTCACCCGCCGCCGCCACACTCCCGCATCTACCTCGGGATCCTCCCAGATCCGATCGAACTAACCACCTGCAACCATCTCCTTCTCCTTGAATTCATCCATCGGCCAATCACCACCGATCCATCCAACCACCAATCAGCTCGGCCGCCTCCCCTGTTCGGTCCTCGCCGCATCTGCAGCTCCCCTCGCACCAGCGCAGCAGCGCCCAAGCCATTGTCGTCGCTCAGGAGCTCACCCCCAAAGCTCCTCCTGCCTCGTCTTCTAGCTCCTGGACGCATCCGGCCACCCGCAGCCGTCGTCATCCACGCCCATAGGAGCCAACAGCTGCATCCCCGAGCGGGGAACGCTCGATCTGCTCGTGCTAGAGCACCTCCGCAGAGCCGAGGAGCTCCACACCTTGCCTCCACCGCCTTCATCGTTCCTGCGCCGCCGTCACCCCGTGTCCCTGAGCACCTCGTCGCCGGAGCAGCTCGATCCCGACCACCTCGCCGAAGCTCCTCTCCAGCATGCCGGACACCCCGAGCATGCCCGGCCTCCCCGCTCGCCCTCCTCTCGTTTGGATCGAGCGGCAGCTCTTCCCGAGCGGAGCGCTCGCTTCAGCCGTCGACCGCGAGCCGCATTGTGGGTGTTACAGATCTCCTATCATTATACGGCTCCACTAGTTCGGCCCATGTACAATGGGTCGTTGCCCCAAGGACCCCTTAGTCCATGACTCCCTAAGAAGCCCCCGAACTTGCCTCCAACACCAAGACTTGTATCCGGTATTCATTCATCCGACCAGTATTCGGCTTGCGAGGCGAGTTTTTAGTATGTTTCTCCCCTATTCAGAACCAGGCGATGTCCGGAATCTGAAATGGCAGTTTTGCTTAACACCGAAGGTAATAATAAAAAAAATAACGCTCAAGCGCAAATGATGCCTCCATCCTACAACCTTTTCTCTTTCAAAGAAGAGTCGCTTCCGGCCATAACGCCGAGCAGTTACTATTTCTTGAAGCGCTGCTCGAGGCCGACGCCATGTTTGACACGCCCCCTCGAGGTGGAGATCGTGTCTCGCTTTTGGGGGATATGGTTAATGATTTTGATTCCCCTTCCCACTCATAACGTCGCGACCATATCGGGAAGTGGAGAAGCCAACGGCGTGGAAAAAGGTAACCCCATGCCTGTCATCTGCCTATAATGTGGGGGGCTGCTACAGTCTGCATCTCACGCCCTCTTCCACCTTCTGGTTACACAGACCTCCAGAGCTCCAACGCCCTTTCTCTCTGCTTCCACAATGAATCCCTCTTTGTCTCCTTCGAACATGGCTGGATCCGGAGCCAATGGGAAGTGGGAGGCCTCCAGCATCACTGAGGGGGACATTTGAAGCTGAAGGAGGCCGACTATTTTAAAGGAAATATGCCCTAGAGGCAATAATAAAGTTGTTATTTATATTTCCTTATATCATGATAAATGTTTATTATTCATGCTAAAATTGTATTAACCAGAAACTTAGTACATGTGTGAATACATAGACAGACAAAGTGTCACTAGTATGCCTCTACTTGACTAGCACGTTAATCAAAGATGGTTAAGTTTCCTAGCCATGGACAAAGAGTTATCATTTGATGAATGGTATCACATCATTAGAGAATGATGTGATTGACTTGACCCATCCGTTAGCTTAGTTGATCGTTTAGTTTACTGTTATTGCTTTCTCCATAACTTATACATGTTCCTATGACTATGAGATTATGCAACTCCCGAATACCAGAGGAACACTTAGTGTGCTATCAAACGTCACAACATAACTGGGTGACTATAAATATGCTCTACAAGTGTCTCCGATGGTGTTTGTTGAGTTGGCATAGATCGATATTAGGATTTGTCACTCCGTGTATCGGAGAGGTATCTCTGGGCCCTCTCGGTAATGCACATCACTATAAGCCTTGCAAGCAATGTAACCAATGAGTTAGTTACGGAATGTTGCATTACGGAACGAGTAAAGAGACTTGTCGGTAACGAGATTGAACTAGGTATTGAGATACCAACGGTCGAATCTCGGGCAAGTAACATACCGATGACAAAGGGAACAACATATGTTGTTATTCGGTTTGACCGATAAAGATCTTCGTAGAATATGTAGGAGCCAATATAAGCATCCAGGTTCCGTTATTGGTTATTGACCAGAGATGAGTCTCGGTCATGTCTACATAGTTCTCGAACCCGTAGGGTCCGCACGCTTAACGTTCGGTGACGATCGGTATTATGAGTTTATGTGTTTTGATGTACCGAAGGTAGTTCGGAGTCCCGGATATGACCGCGGACATGATGAGGAGTCTCGAAATGGTCGAGACATAAAAATCGATATATTGGAAGGCTATGTTTGGACATCGGAATGGTTCCGCGTGAGTTCTGGCATTTACCGGAGTGCCGAGGGGTTACAGGAACCCCCCGGGGAGTGTATGGGCCTTATTGGGCCTTAGTGGGAGAGAGGAGGAGGCGGGTAAGGTGGAGGGCGCCCCCTAGCCCAATCTGAATTGTGTGGGCCCCCCTTCCTTCCCTCTCTCTCCCCCTTCCTTCTCTCCTACTCCAACAGGGGAAAGGGGCAATCCTACTCCCACCGGGAGTAGGACTCCCCCCTTGGGCGCGCCATAGAGGGCTGGCCCTCTCCCTCCTCCACTCCTTTATATACGGGGGAAGGGGCACCCCATAGACACACAAGTTGATTGTTTTAGCCGTGTGCGGTGCCCCCTCCACAGATTTCCCCTCTGTCATATCGTTGTAGTGCTTAGGCGAAGCTCTGCGTCGGTAACTTCATCATCACCGTCATCACGCCGTCGTGCTGAAAAAACTCTCCCTCGACCTCAGCTGGATCTAGAGTTCGTGTGAAGTCACCGAGCAGAACGTGTGCAGATCACGGAGGTGCCGTATCTTCGGTGCTAGGATTGGTCGGATCGTGAAGACGAATGACTACATCAATTGTGTTGTCATAACGCTTCCGCTTACGGTCTATGAGGGTACATGGGAAACACCCTTCCCCTCTCGTTGCTATGCATCACCTAGATGGATCTTGCGTGTGCGTAGGAAACTTTTTGAAATTACTGCGTTCCCCAACAGTGGCATCCGAGCCAGGTCTATGCATAGATGTTATATGCACGAGTAGAACACAAAGGAGTTGTGGGTGTGGGTATATACATATTGCTTCCCGTCACTAGTTGATTCTTGATTCAGCGGTATTGTTGGATGAAGCGGCTCAGACTGACATTACGCGTACGCTTACGCGAGACTGGTTCTACCGACGTGCTTCACACACAAGTGGCTAGTGGGTGTCTGTTTCTCCAACTTTAGTTGAATCAGATTCAATGAACAGAGTTCTTTCTGAAGATCAAAAAGTAATCACTATACCGCGTTGTGGTTTTTTTATGCGTAGGTAAGAACGGTTCTTGCTCAGCCTGTAGCAGCCACGTAAAACTTGCAACAACAAAGTAGAGGATGTCTAACTTGTTTTTGCAGGGCATGTTGTGATGTGATATGGTCAATACATGATGCTAAATTTTATTGTATGAGATGATCATGTTTTGTAACACAGTTACCGGCAACTGGTAGGAGCCATATGATTGTCGCTTTATTGTATGAAATGCAATCGCCATGTAATTGCTTTACTTTATCACTAAGCGGTAGCGATAGTCGTAGAAGCAATAGTTTGTGAGACGACAACGATGCTTCGATGGAGATCAAGGTGTCAAGCCGGTGACGATGGTGATCATGACGGTGCTTTGGAGATGGAGATCAAAGGCACAAAATGATGATGGCCATATCATATCACTTATATTGATTGCATGTGATGTTTATCCTTTATGCATCTTATTTTGCTTAGTTCGGCGGTACCATTATAAGATGATCTCTTACTAAATTTCAAGGTATAAGTGTTCTCCCTGAGTATGCACTGTTGCTACAGTCCTTCGTGTCGAGACACCACGTGATGATTGGGTGTCATAAGCTCTACGTTCACATACAACGGGTGCAAGCCAGTTTTGCACATGCGGAATACTCGGGTTAAACTTCACGAGCCTAGCATATGCAGATATGGCCTCAGAACACTGAGACCGAAAGGTCAAGCGTGAATCATATAGTAGATATGATCAACATAGTGATGTTCACCATTGAAAACTACTCCATCTCACGTGATGATCAGACATGGTTTAGTTGATATGGATCACGTGATCACTTAGATGATTATAGGGATGCCTATCTAAGTGGAAGTTCTTAAGTAATATGATTAATTGAACTTTAATTTATCATGAATTTAGTACCTGATGGTATTTTGCATGTCTATGTTGTTGTAGATAGATGGTTCATGTTGTTGTTCCGTTGAATTTTAATGTGTTCCTAGAGAAAGCTAAGTTGAAAGATGATGGTAGCAATTACATGGACTAGGTCCGTAACTTGAGGATTATCCTCATTGTTGCACAGAAGAATTACATCCTGGAAGCACCGCTAGGTGACAAACCCGCTGCAGGAGCAACACCAGATGTTATGAACGTCTGGTAGAGCAAAGCTAACGACTACTCGATAGTTCAGTGTCCAATGCTTTACGGCTTAGAACCGGGACTTCAACGACGTTTTCAACATCATGGAGCATATGAGATGTTCCAGGAGTTGAAGTTAATATTTCAAGAAAATGCCCGGATTGAGAGATATGAAGTCTCCAATAAGTTCTACAGGTGCAAAATGGAGGAGAATAGTTCTGTCAGTGAACATATACTCAGAATGTCTGGGTACCACAACCACTTGACTCAGCTGGGAGTTAATCTTCCAGTTGATAGTGTTATTGGCAGAGTTCTTCAATCACTGTCACCAATCTACAAGAGCTTCATGATGAACTATAATATGCAAGGGATGGATAAGACGATCCCCGAGCTCTTCGCAATGCTAAAGGTTGTGGAGGTAGAAATCAAGAAGGAACATCAAGTGTTGATGGTCAACAAGACCACTAGTTTCAAGAAAAAGGGTAAAGGGAAGAAGGGGAACTTCAAGAAGAATGGCAAACAAGTTGCTGCTGAAGTGAAGAAGCCCAAGTCTGGACCTAAGCCTGAGACTGAGTGCTTCTACCGCAAAGGGACTAGTCACTCGAAGCGGAACTGCCCCAAGTATTTGGCGGAGAAGAAGGATGGCAAAGTGAAAGGTATATTTGATATACATGTTATTGATGTGTACCTTACTAATGCTCGCAGTAGAGCCTGGGTATTTGATACTAGTTCTGTTGCTAATATTTGCAACTCGAAACAGGGGCTACAGATTAAGCGAAGATTGGCTAAGGACG